TCTTGCTGGAGCTAAAGTGAATTACAATACAGAGCATTCAGCACATAGCCACATATGATTTACCAAAATGATAACTTAAGTTACATTCCAATATCAATAGTGCTTTAGACTTCAAGCGAGGAACACACACACTTTCAATCTGACTAGGTTCTGAGGCTAGTAACTGAACAGATGGGGGCTCAGAGGTTGTGGCAGAGCAGCTCTGCACCCGAGCCTCAGTTCTGCACCGTCACTTGAGCCGGCAGAGGAATTTAGAGCCAGGGTCAAATTCTTAGCCAAAAGGGATGTACCCGCCAACGTTGGGTGGATATCATCCGAGCGGATGAGACCGGGCTTTCCCCAAAAGGCACTTCAATTGTCAACATGAACAACACCACTTCGAGGGCACCAGCCAGACAGCCAGCGGTTGAAAGCCGAGTGTCTGCTGAATGCTTCTGCACTGCTAGTGCTAGGTAGGGGCCCGGAGAAGATGACAGTGTCGGCCATTGTGCTAGCCAGCTTGCACACCGCGGCGACTTGCAGCTTCAACACCTCGGACTGTTTCCGCCGAACGTCATTACCACCCGCGTGAATAACAATTCGACGGAAACGCTGCTTGTGGGTCATCATGAGCCTCAGATTCCCTTCAATATCACCAAGCCTGGCCCCAGGGAAGCACCGAACAGTGGCTCCTGGGATCTTAACACCTCTAACAATAGAGGAGCCAATTACCAGCGCATCAGCGACTCCATCGGCTCTCTCAGCAGCTCTCTCAGCGGCTCTCTCAGTGGGGCCTTCTTCCCCGCCCGGCCGCTCGGGGGCGCAGCCGGACAGAGCGTCCCAGCGATTGTAAATGCTAACAGGAGGAGGCCCAATGGGGAAACTACCAACAACACGTGGCCCTCTCCGAACAGTCACAAAGCCATCACTATCCTGGTCTTGTCCCAGCTGCGGAGGACGGGCTGGGAGGCTAGGCTCGCTAGTTCTCCTCTGCCTTTCCCTAATAGCGCTTTTCCACAGCACCGGCACTACACCACTCTACACAACACGGCGCGTTACTTTTGCATTTCCACTAGCGTTGAAGCTAGGTATTGTGTTCTATTTTCGGACCACCTCGGGAGCGGTTCCAAAAAACAACACTGACGTGACGTAAGCGGACTGCCTACACTATTGGCCAACGACTGTCGTCACTGGAAGCTTCATAAGTGCGACGTCTGACCGTATTGAGAGACAAGATTCAACCCCGCCATTTTAAAAACTGCCTGTGAGCATACGCACTGCACTCCGCTTCGAGAAATGGAATCCAGCAAGCCGCAAAAGTACACACCGTGGTCTGTTGATGAGGTCCAAACATTTCTGTCTTTACTGGCCGAAGACAGAATACAGAAGGAGCTCGATGGCAGTACACGAAATGAGAAGGTCTATAAAGAGATCGCCCAGCTCTTGCTCACACACGGTTACCACCGTACGCATCAGCAGTGCAGGGACAAGATTAAAAAGATGAAGTGTGATTACCGGGCCATAAAGGACCACAACGGCCGAAGTGGGGTCAATCGGAAGACCTGGAGGTGGTATGCCGAGATGGATGCCATTTATGGCCACAGGCCTGCAAACAATGGACGGGAGTGTGCTCTGGACTCTTCTTCCACGTGGAGAATGGGCGATAATGGTAAGTGCTTTGTAACTTTTATCTGTAGTTATTGTGAAAATGCATTTTTCACGTAACCTGTGGCTCAATGCCCACTGGAATGTATTTATTCATTTAAACGTTTGATTGTTGTCTGCTGTACAAAGTGAGCTAGCTACTTTAAGCTATCGATAGCAAGCTGCTAACACGTGCTACATCTTGCCATTTCACGTGTTGCCATTCAGTTTTGTGCTTTTACTTAAGTCGTTGTGTGTGTTTGTCTTAGAATCCCTTGTCGCAAGTGAAGCGTCGAACGACCCCCAAAGGTCCCCGTCCCCAATCCCTCCAGAACCAGCTGCAGCTCCAGAACCAGCTGCAGCTCCAGAACCAGCTGCAGCTTCGACGCCTGGAGATGCGTTCCCTTCGATGGCGAGCGACACGTCTAGCAGCGCACAGCGTGTGGTCACGGCTAAGGCGCAGGGCAGACATAATACATGATCGATAGATATTTTATTCATCACCCTGGGAGAAATTCATGTTCTATAGCAGCAAATAAAAAATACAACTGCATTGATACTGTGCCGCAACAGTGCAGCTCTATACCGACACCTGGTGGATCTCAGAAGTAATTGCATTCAACTCGGTGAAGTATGTCCAATTAATGCATATTTTGGACACTATCTCCCTAGCTTTAGAGAATGTCAATAAAAAAGGAATCGGACCACCTGTCAGTGATCTTTTTCCAAATAAAAAATCTAATTTGTGATAAAATACCACTTTACTTTGCTGTGAAAAACAAATGCAGCATTAAAATGTAATTTTAGCTGCACTGACTGATTTGATTAATCTGGGTGTATTTAAGTCATGCTCATGCTTTGTCCTAAAATGCCTAAACATTGACCATTAAATATTGTTTATTGACAAAGCGTGAAACATGACATACAAACATTACCCGATTTGCAATTAAGTCAAATGATCCCACACGTAACACTTTCTTTTAGTGGAGGTTTTTCCTCTTTGAAAGGGTAGTTGTTGCAACATCTCGGGTAGTGTGATATATACTGGTCTGAAACGTAATCATCTTTTTGCCTACATAAAAGTATGTCTCCAGAAATGTCACTGCTTTGGATAATTACCAACTGTTAATACTTTTTTTATTGTTGTACAGGGAAGAGAAAAAGGGGGCTCTTCCAGACGGAGACAGTAGAAATGATGAGGCAGATCCAAGCTGAAGATGTGGTGCAGCAGGAGATGAACCGGACACAGCGACTCCAGCTCGTCAGAGAGTCGCAAGAGTTGGAAGCGACATTGAGGAGGAAGGAGAATGCACAGGCGGCTGCATTTAACCAATCGTTTCTTAATCTCCTGGGCCAGCTGGTGGAAGCCATGAGTGGCCGCCGAAACTGACACTCTTCACCAAGACACTTTGTAAATAATTTTATTGGTGCACTTTAAAATTTTGATTTTTTTAAATAAATGTGTGATTTTTTCCAAGACAGGTTTAATTTCTCGGTACACATGACAGTTAACATGCAAACCAAAGTTTTTACATTATTTGTTGTCAGTAAATCCTTAATTGTGGTAAATTTAGGAATAGAAGGTTTATTTATTCCCAGTCATGAAGTGAGGAGCCTACAGGGAACAATACAGAATACTGATAATGTACAGTGTTGGTTACAATACAATAAGCTAGGAAAGTGGGTAAGAAAGGCACAATAAAGAGTGTGCACGTGCGAGTGACTGATCCAAGTCTGAAAGGGAATAAAGGTTGTGGTAATGGTGGGAATGGTTTTGTTGTATTTTATTTATTTAAAAAGGGACAGTGTACAATTAGAACATAAATGCCTCCATTTGATGCATTGTACCGGAGTTAGCCTTAGGCTAATTTGCATCCGTAGTCCCCCGGCAGGGAAGAACACTCCACATACAGGTGGGTATAAAATAACACAAGCACATACCATAAAATACACATTTGTATACAGTCAGCAGATACACACAGAGCAGACGCACAAACGCACAATCACAGACGTATTCCAACACACAAGCGCACAATTACACACAGTTACACACGCACACAAACACACACACTCAGGTGGCGTCAGTACCTTTGGGCCTATGGATAATGATCACATCTTTGCTCACTCTTTAAGTGTCTTTTCAATTCCATCTTAAAGCCTTTCAGTGTAGCACATGACTTAATAGAGTTAGGAAGAGCATTCCACTGCGTAGAGGCCTTCACAGAGAAGGCGGAGAGACCAAACGCAGAGCGACGGAAGGGGATCATACAATCGCGTACCGAGGCTATTCTCGTGGATCTAATTGAGTGTATTGCCCTATAGTTCACAAATGATTTTAAACAGTCAGGAGCCAGGCCATTTAGAACTTTGAAAACGAGACACAGGTTAGAAAAGCGTCTGAAGTTTTCAAGACTCAAAAAATTATATTTTTTACTAAGATATTACAGTGAAATATGAATGATTGGACAGAAAGTGGTCATCTGCACCCTGTGCCACTGCTACCACAGGCTGAACTGTTGCTACAGGTGTGTCCCATTCTGTCACCTCAGAGGCTTTTTTGTGTCAGAAAAGATCTTTTTAAGCCTGCCGAAAGCAATTTTCAACAACCACCCGCCCTCTGCTGAATTTTCTGTTGAATAGTTGCTGTTCGTCTGTCAGTCGTCCGGTGTCCTGAAAAGGTTTTAGGAGCCAGTTCCGCAGGGGGTAAGCGGAGTCCCCTAGGAGGTAATAGCCAGCAGTCACCCCACCAATTTCTCTTGTGTGAGCTGGGAAGAGGCTTCCCCGGCAGGCTAACTCCCACAAGTTAGAGAGTCTCAAGACCCTGGCATCATGCAAGCTCCCAGGCAATCCGGCAAACACGTTCCAAAACAACCCCTTTCCATCAACCACACCTTGGAGAATAATGGAATGCCACCCTTTGCGGTTGAAATAGTCACAATGACATTCCTGTGGAGCCATGATAGGGATGTGGGATCCATCAATGGCACCAACACAGTGTGGGACCCCCCATCTGTTCTCGTTGTAGGCAGCAATCTCCCTGAATTTCTCCTCAGTAGGACAACGGATCTGCGCTGGGACCATCACCGCATTTGCTGCAGCACAAAAGTCTTGCACACAGCGGCACACCGTTGTTATACTGACTCCAAAAAGGTGACCAATGCTTCGGTACTCAGAGCCAGTAGCAAGTTTCCAGAGTGCGATAGCCACTCTCTTCTTTAGGGGCACACATACCCGGTAAGTAGTGTCTTGTCGCTCCATAATCAAGCGCAGCTTTGTGCAGAGGTAATCAAACGTTTCTTTGGACATGCGGAAATTCTGCACCCACTGCGTGTTGCTGAAGCTTGGGACTACAATATCCCACCACTCGGAGGCTCGGTTTAAGGCCCACACCGATGGCTTCCGGCGGCGACGCAACCCGAGAAGCATCTGAAACACACACATACAGCATACACATATTAATGATTTACAGAGACAGCCAGCAGCCATTTTGTTCAGGACGGCTGCTACAAAGCTAGCGATAGCAATATTAGCTTACCCACAAACGTCGTCTTTTTTCAGCTCGTTGTCTCCTGTCCTCAACTGCAAACTCCTGCAAGGTTTTCAATAACTTCGTCATTCTTTGGCGTCTCGCCGCCTGGATTCTTCTCAGGCTTTTCAGTCTATTTGTGACTAGTAGCCACAGAGAGAGCAGCAACACCACGATCGTCTCGGAGTCCTCCATTGTTTGAGGATGTAATGTTTTTCCTGGTTTCATGCTCGTGAGTCGCGCGGAAATGGCGTAACGGTAGCGGAAATGACGTAACGGTAGCGGTGGTATGAAAAGCCCACCCACTTGAAGATGTCCGATGGAGATATGTGGAAAAGCACGCGTACTCGACCGGGTTGTGACGTGTCGTGTAGAGTGGTGTAGTGCCGGTGCTGTGGAAAAGCGCCATATTACATCCATTTTGATTTGATCTGCCGTTGAAACTATTGCACATTTACTTTTGCCTTCTATGGGGCTTTTTCAAAATGGCTGGAGGGCAGCCCCTCCCACAGGATAATGTGAAAAAACGCATCTGCGCTCAAAAGTCCACAAAGGCTAACCCCTAACCCTAACCCAAAAAATATACTCCTCAGGATTGAAATGCATCTGGAAGGTAGCTTTGGGCCAGGAAGCGACTTTTGGACCATCTTGTAAAGACGTTTTTGAGAGGAAAGAAGACTGCATACAAAAGTAAGGAAATGAAAAACATTTCCATTTCTTAACCCTCCTCCTCTGTTAAGAGAAGGTTTTTCTCTTAACAGAGGAGGAGGGTTAAGATTTGTTTTGCCTCGCATCTATGACGACATCCTAAAAACAACGCCCTAACTTGGGACAAGGTCAGTGACATGCTAATGAGTTAGGAGGGGTGAGACCTGCACTGCACTTGAGCATCCCAGCAGACAATAGGGTCGTTAGATCTGCTCCCTTCTACATCAGACTTTAGATTGTTTACGAGTTAGTATCAGGATTAGGGTGTGGCTAACCACACCCATAGGTTATAAATCTCCAACGCGCGGTCCAAGAATTCATTCCCTGAAGAAGTCCGCTAGGTTGAGGACGAAACGTCGGGAAAACTTGCTAAGAAGTACAGATGATGGGTGAGAAACCTTCCTTTGCTTTTATTTAGGAGTAATTCTTGACCCAAATTTAAATTTCAAAAAACATATTAAAAAACTAACCAATACGTTGAATTTTAATATAGCAAATTTTAGATATATTAGGAACTCTCTGACTATAGATGCTTCTAATTTATATCTAAATGCGATGATAGTTCCACACTTCCGTTATTGCATGACGAGTTGGTCGCAGGCATGTAAAACAGCATTAAGGCCCCTGGAATCATTGTACAAAAGTTCTCTTAAGGTTCATGACAAGAAATCTCGGCTCTATCACCACTGTCATATTCTTAAAAAGCATAGTGTATTAAGTTTTGAAAATATAATCATATATTCAAATCTCTGTCTGTTGTTCAAGATAATTAATGGTACTGCAGCTCCTCCATTAAAAAAGTTTATTTCACTGAGCTCAGAAATTTCATCTCGAGCCACTCGGTCGACTGTTCGGGGCGAGTGTAGGATTCCTCAGTGTAAAACAGCGTTCGGCAGCTCAGCCTTCTCCAGTGTGGCCATCAGACAGTGGAATATGTTGCCAACAGAGCTGACCACATGTGTACATTTTAACACTTTTTCACACCAGGCCAAAAAATGGCTTCTTTTAAAACAAACCTGTTCCCATAAAGTACTGTAAATTGGTTTCATTTTAATGCTGTTTAGGGGGAAATGTATTTTTAACATGTGTAATTTTCTAAAACTTTGTATGTTGACATCAGTCTGCCCAGGGACTGCAGGTGGAAATTAGCGCAAGTGCTACAACCTGGTACAATGCATCTCTCCTTTCTGAGGTTAATATATATTGTACACTGTCCCTGTTCAAATAAATAAATAAATGAAAAAAAAAAGTGAATAATTCTCTTTCTGGGTCCACTAGGGATGTAAATCAGTGACCGTTTAACCGGTGGTTGACCGTCACAGCGTTAACCGGTCAAAGATCTCGGTTAAAAAAGATAAAAAGGTGAGAGGGGACGTCTCTTAATAACGCTTTTTTAAGCCCCATTTGCACGGGGTGACAAGCGGGTCTGTATCTAGCTGTGCGCTGCAATGTATCAGTAAACTCCGGGCCGACTCTCACGCCGCACGCGCCACATATGCACGCACACATGCATACGCACACACGCATGCACACCCACACACACTTTCCCCCCCTCCATTGAAACGTAACATCCACACGCATCTTCTCTCCCCTCTGTTAAGATAAATAAAGCACATCTTATCTTATCTCACATAGGAGAAATTTACCGCCTGCTAGTTGCACACTGGTGTGGGTCAGAACTACATTGGAGCTTATATTTACACACACATACATACATATACACACACACAGATATATACACACATACATGTATTGTACACACACACATACCGGTCTGTCGCGCTCCTCTGTGTCACGCAGCCCAAAGAATCCTCGCAAATACGTGGCTCCAGTCAAACCACATGAAACATGTTTGTGCTGCTGGTCCTTATCAGCTCCACACACATCACGTATTTAAACTTTAGCAGAGACCTGCGAGACGCGGCGCGTCACTCGCTGCCCTGACCATGTGAACGAGCTGTCTTTTGCTTAAAATGCTTTAACCCGCAGCACAGAAGAATAGGAAGATTACAACAGCAGTTCTCTGTGCGCAAAAGTGCCGAAGCTGTTGCAGGTTTTGGCGCCGCTGTCTCTGCTCTGACCCAGTAGAACGCTCAGCTGCACTTATGAGAAGTACGCGGCTCGAAATGGCTGTTATTTCAAAGAACGTGGAATATTTGTAACTACGCGATTAACCGGTTTCTACTGGTTAATGAGGCTCGGTGGTCGGTCATGAAAATTCATAGTTTTTTACATCCCTAGGGTCCACCCCCACCAGCCCGGGGTGGTATTGCAAGTATGTCGGCACACAAGCTTATGGAAGTTTTTGAGTTGGGACCCGCCCACAGACACACAGATAAAGACACACACACCTGTGCTCAGCTCCTCGCTCACTAACAGACAGACATGTTTAGGACTCTTCATCAGGTGCAGCGCCATCGTGTCTCCAGTGTGTGAAGAGAATCCACACGTTACACACTCCAGCAGGCCCCCAGACCTGACAAACACACACACATCAATGGCCTGGGACAGGAAGTGTGTACACCTGGGAAAGGACGTGTGTACACCTGGGAAAGGACATGTGTACACCTGGGAAAGGACGTGTGTACACCTGGGAAAGGACGTGTGTACACCTGGGAAAGGACGTGTGTACACCTGGGACAGGACGTGTGTACACCTGGGAAAGGACGTGTGTACACCTGGGACAGGACGTGTGTACACCTGGGACAGGACGTGTGTACACCTGGGACAGGACGTGTGTACACCTGGGACAGGACGTGTGTTTACCTGGGACAGGACGTGTGTTTACCTGGGACAGGACGTGTGTTTACCTGGGACAGGACGTGTGTTTACCTGGGACAGGTCGTGTATTTACCTGGGACAGGACGTGTGTTTACCTGGGACAGGACGTGTGTTTACCTGGGACAGGACGTGTGTTTACCTGGGACAGGACGTGTGTTTACCTGGGACAGGACGTGTGTTTACCTGGGACAGGTCGTGTATTTACCTGGGACAGGACGTGTGTTTACCTGGGACAGGTCGTGTATTTACCTGGGACAGGTCGTGTATTTACCTGGGACAGGTCGTGTATTTACCTGGGACAGGACGTGTGTCTACCTGGGACAGGACGTGTGTTTACCTGGGACAGGACGTGTGTTTACCTGGGACAGGACGTGTGTTTACCTGGGACAGGACGTGTGTCTACCTGGGACAGGACGTGTGTTTACCTGGGACAGGTCGTGTATTTACCTGGGACAGGAAGTGAAGACACAGGGGTAGAGCAGCTTTCGGTTTACGCTGGAATGGTTACTATGGAAACAGGGAGGTCACAATTTAGAGCCGTAGAAGAAGAGCTTCGCAGCAACCCCTGTAGTCAGCATGTATACACTACTTATTGATCTCAGTACTGGAATATGTGGAGTCAGTCTATGGTCTCAGTACTTGATCATGCGGTGTCAGTTGATGGTCTAAGTACTTGATCATGTGGTGTCAGTTGATGGTCTCAGTACTTGATCATGCGGTGTCAGTTGATGGTCTAAGTCAGCCATTCCCAAACTCAGTAACACCGAGGCCCCCTTAAAAATCTGACGGGTCTGCGTGGCCCCCCAAAATAATAACCAAGAAGACAACATTAAGAATAGGCTCTTCTGGTTATTTTATTTTGGGGAAATAGCCTCTGCTACAAACATTGTAATACAAAAATGATTACAGTGGATTATTCAAGTCAAATAATGAACACAAATATTTTAATATTTCAAACAAAACATTATAAATTTAACATTAAATAATTATATATATATATATATATATATTCTTTTTTATGACCTCCCGCGGCCCCCCTGCAGTACCCTCGCGGCCCACCAGGGGGCCGCGGACCCCACTTTGGGAGACACTGGTCTAAGTACTTGATCATGCGGTGTCAGTTGATGGTCTAAGTACTTGATCATGTGGTTGGCGTAGGCTCTGGAGCAGCACGTTTGAAAAACACATCTTGAACATCGCACCAATGCCGGGAAGTGATTCTGGAAGTTCTGTACTGGAGTCAGGCATTCAACACAGGATCCAGAAGAACTGTGGAGAGATGGGTGAGAGAGACGGGTGAAGGAGACAGGTGAGAGACAAGTGAGAGAAAGACGAGTGGGAGAGAGGATGGGTGAGAGAGAGGAGAGAAAGGCTGTGTTTACACCACTGTCGCTTGTCCATGTGCACCCAAAACACAGGTCGGAAGTAGTGGGCGAGCTTTGAGGCTAACAGGGTTAAGCTAGCAGCTTTTTGTGTAAAATTCTTCTCCATGAATAACAGCTGCATCTGTTCACGAAGCTGCATCAGCCAACACCTGTTTACATTCACAGGAGAATCGGAACTCAGGTTGGAGGCATATGTTCACAAGCGCCGTGTCTCCCATTGTCAATCCTGGTTTAGTCCTGGTTTAATTCTGGCATAGCTCCTGTTTTGGCTGTTTGAGTGTTTTCGTCTTCTTGCACCGACAGGTTAGTCGGCGTACCCACCACCTCTGCTGCGCTGCGACGCACATGCCATTTCTTTCACGAACGGATGTCACCATTGACTTTGCATTGAAACTGGACGCAACGCATGATCCGGTGTGAACGTACTTAAAGATAGGTGAGAGACAGACAGGTGAGAGAGAAACAGGCATGTGAGAAAGACATACATGTAAGAGAGCGAGAGGTGAGAGATTGCTACAAATACAGAAATATCACCTCTGGAGATGATCCAGCAGTTTTCCCAGACTTTCCACAGCTTCCTTCTTACAGGTCTTCCCCCTCCTTTTCATCACTGTAGTACTCCTCCTCTGCTCCTCCTCCAGGATCAGAGGAGCTTCAGGAGAAACCTCTTGAAAGGTCCTCACAGTGACCTGTAAAAACAAAACCACAAACATCTCTCTCTGGCGTGCCTCTCTGGCGTGCCTCTCTGGCGTGCCTCTCTGGCGTGCCTCTCTGGCGTGCCTCTCTGGCGTGCCTCTCTGGCGTGCCTCTCTGGCGTGCCTCTCTGGCGTGCCTCTCTGGCGTGCCTCTCTGGCGTGCCTCTCTGGCGTGTTTGTGTTCTCACCACAGTTCCTGGTCTCAGTCCGCTCAGCTGGTCTGGTTTCACACGAGTCCCGTGCAGAAGTTCCAGATGATCTTGTCGATCTTTGGCCGTCAGGAAATGGAGTCTGCATCGGTAACAGTTGTAGATCTGATTCTTCTGAAAACACACACACACACACAGGGGGGCTGTCACTTCCACAGAGCTGCAGGAGGACTGTGGTACAGACCTTGTGATGAGCCACATGAGCATATGGACTGAAATAATAAAGTGATATATATAGTCTGATATAGACTGGTACAGACCTGGTGGCGGGCCACATGGGCCTGATAAGCACAGTGGTTCTTCATCACTCTCAGACAGAAGTGACAAAGGAAGTTCAGAGTATTGGAGTGAACCTCCTCAAAGTGTGTCCAGAGGAGAGAGAAGAAAGAGGAGCGGAACCCACACAACTGCAACACAATTACACAACTGTAACATACACAAAATACAAATGCAGCAGCAGCAGCAGCAGTAGAAGTAAGAGTAGCAGCAGTAGAAGTAGAAGCAGCACTAGCAGTAGAAGCAGCAGCAGTAGCAGTACCTCGCAGCAGTAGGGCATCTCCCCAGGCTTGTGTGTACTCTTCATATGCAGCAGCAGAGCGATCTCCGTCTCGAAGACTCGTTCACAGATCTGACAAACCACTGAACAAAGACCTTAGAATGGACCCCTGTCATGTGACATCACAACCTTCTGCAAGACCAAACTATAGGCACTTAAAGCTGGGGTATGGTACGGAACTTTAGTCTCATAAAAAAACACATAGTTTGAACAGAAGGAGTCTAAAAGTATCATGACCTCAACATATATTTTGTGTAAGAAATAGCCCTGTGAGCTGAGTGTCAGACATCAAAAAAACATGAACTACATGAAACACAAGAGTTCTATAGGTCCGTTCTGAGGTCCAGTTAAAGGACAACTCACCCTCAAATCCACTTTTTTTTGCTGATAAACGGTATAAATGAGTGTCCAATAGTGTTGTCTACATATCCTGGTCATAATCTTGTCACTTTGGTGCAAATTAGTTGAAAGTTAGATTTTCTGCCTAAAACCGTCTGTGAGGCGCCATCTGCTGGCGACCTGTATTACTACATTTGAATTTTGAATCTGGCGCCAACACTGGCACAGAAGATGGACCTGACGTCTGCAAGTTGGACCTGACGTCAGCAGCCCCCCGCCCAGAGCAATGTAAACGGCCCAGTCTCGTTCACGCCCCCTTTAGTCCTCCAGGCTACGCCCATTTAGAGGAAGATTTGAACAGGAAATGTGAGTAACGTAAGCTCCGAGGAGCGGGGGTGAGAACCACTTTAAAATGCTAGTGGACCTGTTGAATTGGCCTTCTGAAAGTACAATGGGTGGAATACAAACAGACCTGTAGAGTGGCTGCTGTTGGGACCATGCACAGCCTGCAAGTGGCGCTCCAAGTTAGCAAGGGGCACAATCTGCCGTAAACAGTACGGACACATCAGTTCTTGAAGGTCGCTCACATGGTCGATCATGTGATGCATCAGTCTGAAACACACGCAAACCAGGAAGACTAGTGGTGATGGTCAAAGTAGTAGCAGTAACAGTAGTAGTGATGGTCAGAGTATCAGCAGTAAGAATATAGTAGCAGTAACAGTAGCAGTAGTATCAGCAGTAAAAGTAGTAGTAGTAGTAGTAGTAATGGTAATAGTATCAGTATCAGCAGTAGTAGTAGTAGCAGTAGAGCCCTGCACTTGAACCCTTGGCCCGAGGACCGGGCTTAGATAATAGGCCCGTGCAGGGCTCTAAGTAGCAGTAGTAGTAGTGGTAGTAACAGTAGTAGTACTAACAGTAGCATAAGCAGGAATAGTAGCAGTAGCAGTTACAGTAGTTGTAGTAGCAGCAGTAAGAGTAGTAGTATTAGTAGCAGTAGCAGTCGTATTACCTGATATTGCCACGAAGATGCTTCGGGCAGTTCAAACACTTGTGCCTCATGACGAGTCGCTTCTGTTCTCCCACGTATCCCTCCGAGCTCCCGTAATAAAAATCCTCCAATCGAATGACCAGGCGCCCTGTAGCCCCGCCCACTGAAAGGCCCGAAGCTTCGCCCACAATACTGCCCCCGGAGGGGCCGGCTGAGCTCCCCTGTTGAGGGGGGAGGGGCCTAAGCACACCTGCATTCAAAGACAAAAAACAGTGATTTCAAGAACCCAATTTTCCTTCAGCTCGGGAGGACTGTCACTTCCGTATAGGGTACTGCTGCTTAACCCTGTCTGAATTGAACTGAATGTTTTAGGCCCGACTTTAAATGTAGAGACTGTACTTACCTCAGAGAAATTCTGGATACGCAAAAAATTAATGAATGCCACAATCTTCGTAAAATCCTCGTAAGTAGGATTTACGTACAAATTTGTTCCTAAGAATGGTTCGAGAATGAGGCCCGTTGTGAGGAGAGAGTTCTTGAACTGGTTGAAGTAGCTTTTTTAAAACTTTTTGTTAGGACTCTGTGGCGGCTGTATTTTAACACTGTTAAAGTTAAGAGTTATGGGTTCCCTCCCTTAAGTCCCTTTAGTGCCCAAAGCCTTGCTTTTGTAGTTTGCTGAAAAGTTTTCAAAACCAACCTGTGCTTTGCGGACAAGAACAGTTTTCAGAGGTCAAAGGTCAGCTTTGTGATCATGAACTGTTCTCTTCTATAAAACCACAATTCTGACTATTCAGAGCTGCTGATCAGAGTGAAGCTAGAGCAGGAGGAAAACGAGCAGAGTTTGTTGCACTTAAGTGTGGATCTAAGGTCTAGAGTCATTTTGGGGAACTTTCCTCGCCTGGTTTTCTTTGTGTAAAATTGCTCATAAAACAGTCATCTTTTGATGCAGAGTCAAGCAGTATACTTTGTTTTTTTCAGTACAACCTGGGGTTTTAGAATATTCATATTTTGGAGCTGTCATATTAATTATATAATGATTATGGAATCATGAAGACAAAGAAAAAAATGAAACGGAAAATCAATTTCACAAAATTGTATTGAAAAAACACTGAAATGCTATAAACAACTTTTTAGACTCCATAGAAATGATATTTATGGTCTTGGGGATAATGGGGAAAAATATTGAACCAGTGACTATTATAATTTTTACAAAATTCCACTATAAAAGCCAAAAACGCTGTACTCCTGATGCCCTTCCTCAAGCAGTTTGTCTATGAGGCTGTGGTTGCTTCTGTATCACAGCTGTAAAATACGTAAAACAAAACAAACTAAGACAAAAAAAAAATAAAAAAAACATCTAATTTATATATACAAATACATTATATACACATAATATCATTTTACTGTATTTATTATTGTCTATTCTCAATAATGTGCACTCCTGGCTCCTCTGAGCGCTACTGCCTGTGCAGCAACAAGTACACACAGAGGAGTGAGAGATCCTACTCTCTGACGATCTTTGTGCGAGTCCCCGTTTGAGTAAACAACTTTACAGTTGGCTGTGTGAAGCTCACGGGGCACTGCTCGAAGATCCGATTGGGGGACTGACTTTCATACACACGTAGTTTATCTTCCGTGCATCGCACAGGCAAATCGAAGCCCGTTTCGGAAAGGCTGGAATGTGTACTTCACGGAGAAAAAAAAGTAAGTTGCTAGCTTTTACGGTTTGCGAGTAAATTGATCACTTGTAAAACATGTGCGCAACCATCGTCGGCGATGGCATCGTCTTTTAAGGGTTAAAGAAAACAGATTTAACAAGAAAAAAAGTTCAGGATGACAAGGGACACTAAAATCCCCACTGAATCCGACCTTTACGAAAGCTGTAGGTTCCTTGTCAGCTGAGGTCGAGCAGTACCACAGGAAGCCCCCGAGCCCATGCGTGTTTCAACGATAAGTTAATATTACCCTATCCACTTAACATTATAGATCCATGAGAAAAACACATACCTGGGCCAACAAAGGGGCGAGGCCTTGTTGTTGCTGGGCTAACAGACGGGCGAGGCCTTGTTGTTGCTGGGCTAACAGACGGACGAGGCCTTGTTGTTGCTGGGCTAACAGACGGACGAGGCCTTGTTGCTGGGCTAACAGACGGACGAGGCCTTGTTGTTGCTGGGCTAACAGACGGGCGAGGCCTTGTCATTGCTGGGCTAGCAGGGAGGTGGGGCCTCATGACACCTGGGCTCACAGGGGGGCGGGGCTTAGACAGAAAGTGAATTGAATTTCCCAGTGGCTTCAGCAAAGAGGAAGGGCTTTTACTCTGAAAGGATAGGAAGCAGTGTGTGAAAACACAAGACGTGTCTGTGTGTCTGAGTGCGTGTACTCACGGCTGCAGGGCTGTACCCCTCAGGTCTGGTGGCTCTCAGTCTCTGGTTCAGAACGTTGAGTTTCTTGAGTTTGATCCTGAGTCTGTCCTCTTTCCTCTTCAGCCGCAGAGACGCGAGTCCCTCAGACAGGTCCTGACTGCACAACTGTGGGAGACATGAGGTCCAGGTCTGAGCCAGGCGCAGGTCTGAGCCAGGTCCAGGTCTGAACCAGATTCAGGTCTACTCCAGGTCCAAGTCTTCCCCAGGTCCACGCCAGGTCCAGGTCCACCCCAGGTCTATTACAGGTCAAAGTCTACACCAGGTCCAGCTGGTCTCTAACAGCTGCTTCAGGACACTCACACAGACGAACCCTCGCAGCTCGGGTGCAGGTCTAAAGTGGCTATGACATCGATAGCAGTCTGGAGGAGGTTGAACCAACACGTCTGAAACATACATTGAAGCGTTATGTGACTCCAATCGTAGAGGACTACTTTTAATTACTTTTAATTTTAGTCATAACATTTGATGTACAGTGCCTTGCGAAAGTATTCGGCCCCCTCGAACCTTTCAACATATCGCCACATTTCAGGCTTCAAACATAAAGATATAAAATTAAAAATTTAACAAATACATTTTTAACAAATAAAAAACTGAAAAGTGGGGCGTGCAATATTATTCGGCCCATTTACTTTCAGTGCAGCAAACTCACTCCAGAAGTTCAGTGAGGATCTTTGAATGATCCAATGTTGTCCTAAATGACTGATGATGATAAATAGAATGCACCTGTGTGTAATCAAGTCTCCGTATAAATGCACCTGCTCTTTGATAGTCTCAGGGTTCTGTTTAAAGCGCAGAGAGAACCATGAAGACAAAGGAACACACCAGGCAGGTCCAAGATACTGTTGTAGAGAAGTTTAAAGCCGGATTTGGATACAAAAAGATTTCCCAAGCTTTAAACATCTCAAGGAGCACTGTGCAAGCAATTATATTGAAATGGAAGGAGTATCAGACCACTGCAAATCTACCAAGACCCGGCCGTCCCTCCAATCTTTCATCTGAAACAAGGAGAAGACTGATCAGAGATGCAGCCAAGAGGCCCATGATCACTCTGGATGAACTGCAGATAACTACAGCTGAGGTGAGAGAGTCTGTCCATAGGACAACAATCAGTCGTGCACTGCACAAATCTGGCCTTTATGGAAGAGTGGCAAGCAGAAAGCCATTTCTCAAAGACATCCATAAAAAGTCTTGTTTAAAGTTTGCCACAAGCCACCTGGGAGACACACCAAACATGTGGAAGAAGGTGCTCTGGTCAGATGAAACCAAAATCGAACTTTTTGGCCACAATGCAAAACGATATGTTTGGCGTAAAAGCAACACAGCTCATCACCCTGAACACACCATCCCCACTGTCAAACATGGTGGTGGCAGCATCATGGTTTGGGCCTGCTTTTCTTCAGCAGGGACAGGGAAGATGGCTAAAATTGATGGGAAGATGGATGGAGCCAAATACAGGACCATTCTGGAAGAAAACCTGTTGGAGTCTGCAAAAGACCTGAGACTGGGACGGAGATTTATCTTCCAACAGGACAATGATCCAAAACATAAAGCCAAATCTACAATGGAATGGTTCACAAATGGACGTATCCAGGTGTTAGAATGGCCAAGTCAAAGTCCAGACCTGAATCCAATCGAGAATCTGTGGAAAGAGCTGAAGACTGCTGTTCACAAACGTCTCCATCCAACCTCACTGAGCTAGAGCTGTTTTGCAAGGAAGAATGGGAAAGAATTCCAGTCTCTCGATGTGCAAAACTGATAGAGACATACCCCAAGCAAATTGCAGCAAAAGGTGGCGCTACAAAGTATTAGCGCAAGTAATATTATTACCGAATAATATTGCACGCCCCACTTTTCAGTTTTTTATTTGTCAAAAAAGTTTAAATTATCCAATAAATTTCTTTCCACTTCACGATTGTGTCCCACTTGTTGATTTTTGACAAAAAATTGATTTTTTATATCTTTATGTTTGAAGCCTGAAATGTGGCGAAATGTTGAAAGGTTCAATGGGGCCGAATACTTTCACGAGGCACTGTATATATACTTTTACTCAACTAAAATATATGTAATGTAATATGTTTATGTAACATATAACAAGAAGGCTCTGGGTTTACCAAATTTTCTGCGGTACTACTGGGCTGTAAATATACGCACAATGCTATTTTGGTGCAGCAACAGCAATGATAAACCACTCTGGCTGTCGGTGGAGGAGACCTCTTGTCACTCTGGCTCTTTGTTTTCTCTCCTATGTCTCCCTCTTAAATCATCACTTACATCATACTCTGATAATTTTATAGTGAAAAACAGCCTTAAAATTTGGAACCAATTTAAAGAACATTTCATTATTCAGGTAATCCCTCTTCTCTCCCCGCTTCACTCCAATCCCCTGTTTCCTCTATCTCTGACTGATGGAACCTTTACCATATGGAGGAACCAGGGACTCGCCTCAGTTAGAGAATTTTACATAGAGGGTATTCTGGCATCCTTTGCCCAGTTATCTTCCAAATTTAACCTGCCAAATACCCACTTTTTCCGCTTCCTACAGGCCCGACATTTTATTAGTAAACATTTCTCAAGTGCTCCTATCATTCCCAATACCACCACAATTGATGCACTTATGACACTCAAGCCTTCAGCAAAAGGTACAATTTCTAAAATATATAGTCTTTTGTTTTCTTTACTTAATGTTTCATCAAGCAATCTGCGAGTAGCATGGTCTGAGGAACTTGGAGTGGAGATTAATGATGAACAGTGGGGTCTTGCTCTTAAACGTGTTCATTCTTCATCTATTTGTGCGCGACACTGTATCATTCAATGTAAAGTGGTCCACAGGGTCCATTGGTCGAAGAGTAGACTAGCTCGAGTCTTTCCAGGCTCTGATGATAAGTGTGTGAGATGCCATTTAAGCCCAGCAAATCTTTCTCATATGTTCTTGACCTGTCCTTCACTGACTACATACTGGGACACTGTTTTTGATTCCCTGTCCTTTATTTGTAATGCCAGAGTTCAGAGGTCCCCATTGACAGCCCTCTTTGGCACACTGCCTCCCGGCCACACCTTACAACCCTACTGTGAACGTCTTGTGGCCTTTCTAACACTGTTGGCTAGGCGCTGTATTTTGATGCATTGGAAGGACCCTCACCCACCAACTCATTCTCTATGGATTAAGGACGCTCTTTCATTCATGAGACTGGAGAAAATTAGGCACTCCCTCAAAGGCACTCTCTCTGAATTTTCAAAAATATGGATTCCTTTTATAGACCATGTTATGTCTTTGACATTGAATGTGGCTCCTTGACTGGTATCTTCTTAAATAGTCTGTTGAAACTAAGTGGTTGACAGATTTACACATTTCCTATTTACTTAATAGCATGTTAAAGTCCTATTTACTTTAACAGCATGCACAGATCTTACATTCGCCTCGATGAAGTCTGCTTTAAAGAGGATATTTAGCGGTAAAATGAGTGCTGCATCAGAGGGAATCAGTCAAGAGTCTGTGTTTGCCAAGGAGCAGCATCAGCGGGAAAAAGGCAAAACCTGGCAACAAAGAGGCAGACCCAGAACTCCACAACCCGGTACGAACCCGTTGGACAAGTTTGGACGCCGATCAAAGTGTGCAGTGTGTCAAAGCACGTTTCAAAAGTGTTAGGACGTGCTGGTAAAGCCAAAGAAAAATACAAGAACTGGTACAACTTGGAGCTACTTGAGCCTGCTGAGAGGGCAGGTACCAGTGAAGCTGTTGATTTGTCACAATTGGATGATCTTCAAGTGCAAGATCAGAGGCAAAACACAGAGCCATCTGAAGATGTTTTTATCACAAAGGATGTCTCATTTGATGAAGCTAAAATCAGTTAAATAAAAAGCTGGATATAAAATTATGTGTATGAAGAGGTTGAAGACAATGGACAAAAGTGCATCTCCACTCAGTGGGTGTGCACTCTGAAAGAGACAGAGAATGGATTAGTTCCTAAAGCCAGGCTTGTTGCACGAGGATTTGAAGAACTACAAGTTTCGGAACTACAAAATGACTCTCCAACCTGTGCTTCGGAGTCTCTGAGGCTCCTTGTGGCAGTGAGTTGCCAGAAACAATGGCAACTTCATTCAATGGACATCAAATCTGCTTTTTTACAAGGACTAGAACTGTCTCGAGTCATTTTCATCAAACCGCCTCCAGAGGCCAATAGTACAGGCATAGTTTGCAAACTGAGAAAATGTGTGTATGGTTTAGCTGACGCTTCACTGTATTGGTATAACAGAGTAAAAGGCATAATGATTGAAGCCGGAGCTGTCATATCTAAAGTAGACCCTTCAGTTTTATACTGGTTAGATAAGGAAAGAAATGTAACTGGTATACTAGCAGGTCATGTGGATGATTTCATTTGGGCGGGTACAAACATTTTCTCTATGAACGTCATACCTGAAATAAGATCCAAATTCAATGTAGGTCGTGAAGCTCAAGATAGCTTCTCTTATGTGGGTGTTGATTTTGTTACTTTAAGCAAAAAAGTCCAAATTCAACAAGAGACAAATATTCAGCATTTACCTGTTGCTCCTTGACGGGCTGCCGAGCCAAGCTCGTTGCTCACAGAAACTGAGAGAGACCTTCTAAGATCTAAGATAGGGCAACTGTTGTGGGTTGCCAGACAAAGCAGACCTGATGTCATGTTTGATGCCAGTAACTTAGCATCAAATCTCAAGCAGGCTACTATACAAACCACCAATGAAGCAAACAGAGTTGTGTGCAAACTTAAAGCCAAATCAGTTGAGTTGAATTTCCAGCACCTTGGTAAAGACAGTAGCTTAAAGATTGTTACTTTCACTGATGCTTCTTTCGCTAACCTATCAGATGGGGGTACTCAAGGTGGGCACCTTATTGTTTTATTGGGTGACAATGGACACTTCTCTCCAATATCATGGCAGTCAAAGAGGATCAAGAGAGTTGTCAGAAGTACACTTGCAGGTGAAACGCTAGCGATGTCTGAAGGAGTTGACAATGCCATTTTTCTTTCTACATTGTTTTCTGAGCTGAGTGCAGGTTGTACAGATCACAGTGTGCCAATAATCTGTGTTACTGATAACTTTTCTCTTGTTGATGCACTGAAGTCTACAAAGCTCACTAGAGGGCTACAAACGCTTGGAAATTAGTTCTATAAAAGAACTGATCCAAAACAAAATGGTTCAACAGGTGGTGTGGTCAGAAACTCAAGACCAACTTGCAGACTGCCTAACAAAAAATTGTGCGTCTTCAGCTAGGCTGCTAAAGGCTCTTCATGAAGGACAGTAGGCAGTTGGATGACCATCTGAATGTTATAAAATGTTTTTTTTATTTTTTATTTTTATAAAGAGAGTGAGTTTGTTAGCTCTTGGTCTATGTTCAACTTCTATG